AAACCGACGCGTTTTTTCTACGAAACCCCCACGCACACACACACACATACACACACACACACACACACACACACACACACACACACACACATACACACATACACACACATACACACACAAACACTTCCTCCCCTTCTGCGCCTGCACCAGTCACTCTGAAACTAACTGTCCCTGCCACGTCTCTGCCACGTCTCTGCACCTGCCACGTCTCTGCACCTGCCACGTCTCTGCACCTGCCACGTCTCTGCACCTGCCGACACACACAGACACTTGTGTGCGTCTAAATCAGCATCTCTACATGTCTTATTATTTTTTAATTTATTTTGGGCAAGTAAAGATTTACATTTATATACAATGGAACATATGACATAAGTGAAATTATAATAGAAAAAAATTATAAATAAAAAAATTAACTATTATTCTTACTATTTTGCCCAAAAAGGAGTGGGAAGAAGAAAACTTATTTAATCCCAGCCCTTCTCTTCATAATCCAACACAATGAGCTTCTTTTGTGTTTTTCAGACGTTTTGAATTAAACTATATGAACTATTTCCAAGTGCAAACAAAGAGGCACTGTTATAGTTTTGGTCGTAGAACATAAATGTACCAACAATGGTAAAGTTCAGGACACAGACGATGGTAAGAAACAACAAACAGAAGTAAAGTAACGGACGACACAAACCAACAATGGTAAAAAAAACAACAAACAAACAAAGTTTTTACGGGGAGTTCGTACATTAGGCAATTTGAAATGTCCAAACCCTCTAAAATGATAAGTTCTCTCTCTCATTTTGAATAAGCTTTGAATATGACGTGGGAGTAAATTATTGAAAGCTCTGAATAAAATGACCAGTGTATAATATTGTACAAGTTCAGGAATTTTGAGGAGCTTGGATTGAATAAAAAGATTGTGGGTGTGTTAAAAAAAAACAACTTTATGGATGATTGGCAAAGCTCGTTTCTGTAACATGATCAATGGATGAAGTGTCCCTCACACTTCAACACTTCTGTGAAATAAAAGAACCAATGAACAGTCAAACGTACGAAGGGCATTTTGATCAAGGTCATATGTCACTTTGTTTACTACACGTTTGTCTAACGTGGGCCTTAAATGATAATTTACTGTCTATTATAACTCCCAGGAATTTATTTTCATTTACATTTTCTATTTGGACACCTTCAATCAAAATGTGTAACTCTGTGTTAATCTTGTGACTACCAAACATCGTTGCCTTGGTCTTACTCAAGTTTAATGACAATTATTTATATCCATCCACTTTTTAATTTTGTTCAGCTCCTCATTCAGACTTTTATGAGTTCATTATAATTGTGACTGCTATAAAATATGTTGGTGTCATCTGCAAAGAGAATAAGTTTTAGGGATTGAGATACAGTAAATATATCATTTATGTAAATATTGAACAGTTTGGGTCCCAGAACAGACCCCTGGGGGACTCCACAAGCAATGCCGAGGTTTTTTGATGTATACTTGTATACTGTTAGAGTTTATGTAGTAATATTGAGTGATTGATCGTATCAAAGGCTTTCTTAAGGTCAATAAAAATACCAGCAGCATATTTATTGTCGTCTAGTGCATTTGTGATTCTCTCTATTGCATCGATTATTACCATTGAGGTGGTTCTTTGCGTCCTAAACCCGTATTGTCCTTCATTAATTATTTGATATTTGTCAATAAACTTTTCGAGACGTGAGTTGAAGAGTTTTTCAAGAATTTTTGAAAACTGTGGCAGTAGGGAAATTGGCCTGTAGTTTGTAAAACTATGTTTATGAATATTGGTATTACTTTGGCAATTTTCATTTTATTGGGGAAACTCCCAGACTGAAAGGATAAGTTGCAGATGTGGGTAAAGGGCTTAATAATGTTATTTATTACTTTTTTAACTAGTATCATGTCTATATCATGACAGTCCTTGGATACTTTACTTTTACATTTCAGAACAATGTTTGTGACCTGTTCATTTGTTGCTGATATGAAGATTGAATGTGGATTTTTTTCGACATTTTGTTAACACTGTAAAGTTACCTGATCTGGATTTTTTGTTGCCAACTCTGGGCCAACATTTACAGAAAAAATATAGAACCGATTTACTACATCATTTGCATTTTGAATTTCATCATTTTTGTCAATGAAGTAGTCAGGATATGAGTCTGGTCAAGTGGTAACGAGGGAAACAGGGTCAGATTTTTGACATTCAAATGTCTCTTATTCAGAAACTAGAGGAACTATTGAAATAAGTAAAGTATCAGAATGTAGGAAAGAGTTACACTCCAACAGGGTCAAGTTAAACCTGTGAGATTCTTTCAAGTTGTTGACAAAAAATTTAAAAACTCATGTCGGTAACGGAGGGAATGAAATATGCAGCACTTTTTGGTCAATAAATCCAAACAGTGATAACTCTTGGTTCTCACTTCCATATCCTTAACAAACTGGTTTGAATATTTGCTTCATATAGTTTTCTACCATATGGTACAAGATTAG